ACTTTTCTTAAGGGCCTTTGGTGAGAGACCATGTCAAAGGTTTTCAGAAAATCAATTACATTGACTAAGTCATCCTTGTCCACATGCTTGTTCAGACTCTCACATAATAACAGATTGGTGAGGCATGATTTCCCTTTACAAAACCATGCTGTCTCTTCCCCAACATATTGTGTTCATCTAGGTGTCTGATAATTCTGTTCTTTACTACAGTTTCAACCAATTTGCCTTAAGTATATTAAAAGAAAATATAGTCTTAACGGTATTGGTCCATTAGTGGATGGAAATGGTAGATTTCTCAATAATGCAGAAGCATAAGTGTTCAATAAACATTTCTGTTCTGTTTTTGGGAAAAAACAGATGTAGTCTTATATGATAACATTCTTTCCATTCCACTGGTATCTCTGGAATTACCAAAAGTTAGGCATTTTAAAATCAGTATGTCTGGATAACTTGCATCCAAGAGTTTTAAAAGAGCTGGCAAAGGATCTTGCTGGACTGTTAATGTTGATTTTCATTAAGTCTTGCAACACTGGGTAAGTCCCAGAAGACTGAAAAAAAGCTTATATTGTGCCAGTATTAAAAATGGTAAAGGGGATGACCTGGCTAATTATAGGCCTCTCACTCTGACATAGATTCCAGATAAGATAATGGAGCAGCTGATACATGACTCAATTAATCAAGAATAAAAGGGGGTAATAGAATTAATGCCAATCACACGGGTTTATGGAAAACAGATCCTGTCTAGCTTGGTATCTTTTTTTTTTTTTTTTTTGAGATTACAAGTTTGGCTGATAAAAGGTAACAATGTTGATGTAATAGACTTCCGTAAAACATATGACTTGGTACTCTGAAACCTGTCATTTTGATGAAAAAACTAGAAAGATATAAAATTAACATGGCACATATAAAATGGATTAAAAGATGACTGATAGGTCTCAAAAGATAATTGTAAACAGTGAATCATCATCGAACAAGTGCGTTTCTAGTGAGGTCCCACATAGTTCGGTTTTTGGTCCTACATTAACATTTTTATTCATGACTTGGAAGAAAACAAAATCACTGATAAGTTTGCAAATGACACAAAAAATTGAGAAATTGGTAAATGAAGAGGACAGGTCATTGATACAGAGCAATCTCGATCACTTTGTAAGCTGGGTGCAAGCAAACAATATGTGTTTTAATATGGCTAAATATAAACATATACCACTAGGAACAAAGAACGTTATGTCACACTTACAGAATGAGGGACTCTATCCACCACAGTTCCCACATCTGTTGCAGTCACTGCTTCCCTGAATAATCTGCTGAACATGAGCTCCCAAGGTGACAATGTGGTCAAAAGGACTCATGTGACTCTTGGATGCATGAACAGGGGAATCTTGAGTAGAAATACAGAGGTTATTTTACCTCTGTATTTGGCACTGGCGTGACTGTTGCTGGAACACTGTGTCCAGTACTGGTGTCCACAGTTCAAGAAGGATGTTGATTAATTGGAGGGGGTTCAGACCAAAGCCATGAGAATGGCTAAAGGATTAGAAAATATGCCCTATAATGATTGAGCTCCTGGAGTCTATCTATTGAGGTTAACAAAGGGAAGATTAAAGGGTGACTTGATTACAACCTACAATTACCCATAGAGAACAAATATTTAATAACAAGCTCTTCAATCTATCAGGAAAAGGTACAGCATGATCAAAGGCCTGAAAGTTGAAGCTAGACTAATTCAGACAGGAAATAAAGCATACATTTTTAACAGTGAGAGTAATTACTCACTGAGGGGAAAACAATAACAAAACACGCAGCAATGGCTGAAGTGCTAAATGCCTTTTTTGTTTCAGTTTTCACCAAAAAAGTTAGCAGTGACTGGACAACAAACATAGTGAACATCAATGTAATGGGATAGAAGCGGAGGCTAATATACGAAAAGAATAAGTTAAGAATTACTTAGACAATCTAGATGTCTTCAAGTCAGCAGGGCCTAATGAAATAAATCGTAAAACACTTAAAGAACTGGCAGAAGAGATCTCAGAGCCATTATCTTTGCAAACTTGTGGAGAACAAGAACGGTCCCCATGGACTGGAAAAGGGCAAATACAGTACCTATCTATAAAATGGGAATAAGGACAACCAAGGAATTATAGTCTAGTCAGCTTAATATTGGTACCTGGAAAGATCATGAAGCAAACAATCAATTTGGAAGCATCTAGAGCAGAGATTGGCACCCTTTGGCACATGGCCCATCAGGGTTATCCACTGGTGGGCTGCGAGACATTTTGTTTACATTGACCATCTGCAGGCACAGCCCCCCGCAGCTCCCAGTGGCCGCAGTTCGCCATTCCCGGCCAATGGGAGTAACTTCAGGTTTTTGAGATAGCCGTTGAGAAGGCACGGGTCTAAAATGAGTCAGAGACCCCTATTGGCCTTTGGAATTAGGAAATATCAGTAGTAAACCCCCTTCTCTCTTAAATCCCAAGGAACCTCCTCCACGGCTAGGAGAAGAGCTTGCACCTGCTGGGCGAGAAGTTGCTTGTGAGAAGGCTTTCTGAATGGGGACGAGAGGTGTGGAAATTAACTGGAGCGTATAACCCCTTTTCACAGCCTTCAGCAACCAGTGGTCTGGTGGTGATAAGAGACCAGGCCGAGCTGAAGTGAGATAGGCGGTCCGAAGACAAAGGAGGGACAGAAACCAGTGGCATGGGAATTGCTATAATGCTTTTGGGCATCCCATCAAAAAGTTCTGTTTGGCTACCTCCAAATATGGGACTTCAAGTCCCGGCAGATCTGGCAGAGATCCCAGATATGAGTCTCTCCCAGCACATCAGACAACTGGAGTGCAGGTTACGCTTGAAACCCAGAGACCGAGGCATTCCCCGACACCAGGAGTGGATGAAGACTGATAAAGTGAAACATGCCAACTAACAAATGTACATCAAATTGACAACAGTTCAAATGAGAAATAAAGAACCGGGGTGAAAGAAAGTAAACCAAGACCACTAAGAAGAGTTCGCCACAGCAAGAGGAGCAGTTCCAGCGACCGTCACAGGTAGTAAGAAGGAACAGAGGGTGGGGGTTTTGCTGGACCCCTTGTGCCAGTGTGTGGCACCGGGGTGGTGGTGCTGGGGCCAACCCAATGGATGTTACTGGGAGAAAAATTTCTGGTGACTGCAAGCAGCTCGTGCACACTTAACGTAAAATGGACACATAATAGCACTCGAAGAAGAAATATAGCCTACATGAACCTATTATAAGGTGCGTGCACAACTGGTTGGAAAAGTATACTCAGTAGTTATCAATGGTTCAAAATCAAGCTAGAAGGGCAAACCATGTAGGGTGCCACAGGGTTGTGTCCTAGGTCCGGTTCTATTCACTATCTTCATAAATGATTTGGATAATGGTATAGAAAATACACTTAAAGTTTGTGGACAATACAAAGCTGGGAGGGGTTGCAAGTGCTTTGGAGACCAGGATTAGAATTCAAAATGATCTTGACAAATTGGAGACACGGTCTGAAATAAATAGGATGAAATTCAATAAGGACAAAATGTAAAGTACTACACTTAAGAAGGAATAATCAATTGCACAAATAGAAAATGAGAAATGACTGCCAACGAAGGACTAGCACAGAAAAGGATAGGAGTTTTATCGTAGATCACAAACTAAATTCGAGTCAACAATGTAATACTGTTGCAAATAAAGCAAACATCATTCTGGGATGAATTAGCAGGAGTGTTGTGAGCAAGACATGAGAAGCACTACTCAGCATTGATAAGGCCTCAACTGGAGTCTGCATCTAAACTTCATTTGAAGAATTGGTGTTTTACCCATGAAAGCTTATGCCCAAATAAATCTGTTAGTCTTTAAGGTGCCATCAGACTCCTTGATGTTTTTGTGGATACAGACTAACACGGCTACCCCCTGATACTTGACACCAACTGGAGTATTGTGTCTAGTTCTGGACATCACACTTCACGAACAATGTGGACAAACTGGAGAAAGTCCAGAGGAGAGCAACAAAAATTATTATGGTCTAGAGAAAACACGGCCTACAAGAAAAGATTGAAAAAAATTGGGCTGTTTATTCCAAAGAGAAGAGAAGACTGAGTGGGGACATGGTGATAATCTTCAAGTTCCTGAAAGGTTGGTATAAAAAGGGGGGCATGATAAATTGATCTAAACTATTGAGGACAGGATAAGAATTAAAGGGCTTAAATTGCAGCAAGGGATATTTAGGTTAGGCATTAGGAAAAACTCCCTAACTGTAAGAGTAGTTAAGCACTGGAAAATTGCCTAGGGAGGCTGTGGAATCTCCATCACTGGAAGTTTTAAAGAATACGGTAGACAAAAGACCTGTCATACTTAGTTCTGCCTCAGTGCAGGGGACTGGACTAGATGGCCTATTGAGGTTCCTTCTAGTCCTACATTTCTATGATTAACCATTGTGACAACTTATAAAAGGGTCATGGTGGATTCCCCATCACTGACCATTTCTAAATCAAGCCTGGATGTTTTTCTAAAAGATATGCTCTGGGAATTATTTTGGGGGAGGTTCTATGGACTATGTAATAAAGTAGGTAAGACTAGATGATCACAATGGTCCCTTCCGGCCTTGGAAACCACGAATCTATGCATCTTATCCCATATTACACTGTGAGTAGTAGAAAGACAATACCTATTTCATATGGGAGTTATGAGGACTAGTTAATGTTTGTGCAAAACTGAACATAAAGTAGTGCAAGTATTTAGTTTTTATACTTTAAAATGAATATTATTGCACAGAAAAAGTCAATTTAATTTGCTGCAGTGTAGCATTCAGAATGGGAATCCTGATAGCAAAACAAGCTATCCCCACACCATTTCCTTGAGATCCTTGAACCATTATGTGAAATTTCTGCACTGTTACACTTGTTACATTTCGAGAGCACCTCAAATCATGAGACAATGTACTAGAAACTTTCTGAATCCTTAAACTGCTAAATAGCATTACATTAAATATTAAATACCTTTGTGATGTAGAATTTTTTCAGCCCATCCAAAAATGATGTAAAAATTGAAGCAACCTGTGGTTTAAGAGCATGCCCTTTGGGGGATGGGAAAAAGAGGAAACAATAAGTTAACAAGTCAATAATAGCAGCAAGATTTTCAGAATTCTGATCTTATTTCATCATGTAATGAACTCTGATAAGGGAATTTATAGGTAAAGCTCTGAGAAAGGACTTTGAACATTTTAGTTTTTGTAACCTAAAATTTAATAATGAAGAAATCTCCTTTATGAGATTTTAGAGAAATGTTTTTCATTAATTGTTATTCAAAAGGAATATGTGGCGAATAGCGTGTTAAATTTATCCCAATACCATATCTTCATTCAGACATGTAATTCTGATTAATCTTTGTTCAGGTCATCACAAGTATATGGCACACAAAGTTTAAACCACACTCCATTTTTTAATGGAACAGAAATTAGTTGTTGCTGGTTTTATTTCTTTTTTAAGTTATGCCAAACCATTGAAACAGATATCCAAAAATGAAGTAAAGTGTATAGAGTTTTTCCCCTTCTTGGTTATATCACTTGTGCAGATTTCTCTACATAAAACTAGTAATTGCTTCCTTAATCACATACACAGAATTAAAATTACCAGAATACATAAATGGCATCTTGGAGTCTGTTAAATTAACATCTATGCCTCAGGACTGGGTTGAATTGAGATGAAAGCCTTTTACTGTGCTTTCCATTGTTTTCAGTTACTAGCAATGTCTGAACTCCCACAACTGCTTCATTTTAATAGCCTTACATCTGGCTTACATGCTGTGAGCCCAATTCATAAAAAAGTTATGCACTATTACATGGTATTTCCAAATACTTCCTTGTAAAATACTTCAAAGTATTTTCTCCTGAATAAAGCATGAACTTCAGTAATTCATTAGCCTTCTTTCCTCTTCACTAAAAAGAGCAACTCTCCTTCGCATACTAAGATAAGAACAAGTTGCAAAAAGTACACCTCTATATACATTTGATAAATGACAAATGTGCATGGAAAATTGACAAACACAAAAAGGCTGCATCAGTTAAGGCAATAAAGGACAATAATTTACTCAACCACAACCTTTAAAAGAAACTGGAAGATGTTTTGCATGCTTAAGAAATAGGTTCAGGGTTTATGTTTTTTCAGCAGCCATTAACTATCTCACAAACACTTAAAACAATGGAGAGAGCTGTTTAAAAGTACTTGAAGTTGATAAGAATAAGTGAAACAACCCTAAACTCAGGTCTAAGCCTGAGTGGAAGACCAGTTTTCAAATCATTTCAACTATGTTAGTAAATTTTAAATCTAAACTTGCAATTTCAAATTTTAAAAATGCATCTGTCCTTTGCTATAGGTACACATTCACTATAATAGAATACAGAAGATATCAAAGATCTAAGTCCTTAAGAACTATGTATTTCCCTCCCCCCCATTCCTGTTATTGGGACTAGTCCATAGGTGGGCAAACTATGGACCGTGGGCCACATTCTGCCCGCAGGACCTTCCTGGCCCCTGAGCTCCTGGTCGGGGAGACTACCCCCCGGCCCCTTCCCCACTGTCCCCCATCCCCCGCAGCAATGCTGCTGCGCTGCCAGCACTCTGGCCAGCCACTCCTGCCAGGCAGCGTGGGTGGCGTGACTGGCTCTGGTGGGGCTGTGAGCTCCTGCTGCTCTGAGCAGCATGGTAACAGGGTGGAAAGGTTGAATAAGAGGCAGAGGGTCCCGGGGGTGGACAGGGAGCAGTTAGATGGGGTGGGGTCCTGGGAGGAGGAGGGAAATGGGAGGGGGGCGGAAGCCAGGCTGTTTGGGGAGGTGATTCTTCGCAACCCTGATGTGGCCCTCGGGCCAAAAAGTTTGCCCACCCCTGGACTAGTCATTACTACTCCCCCACTTCATTTACCCCTCAAAGCACTCTTCCTCAAAAACCTGGGAGGGACCGGCAGACCTTGCTACATACCCTAAGTTTGTTGGACCCAAGGATAAGTGACTTCCAGGACTTAAGTCCCTCACTGAAAGCATGTTGCCATCAGCATCCTCCTATTTAAATCAGGAGACTGATACCTTCATGATAGGTCTCAAGCTAACTGTCATGCTATCACTTCAATGAAAAATCTCAGGTAGTCAGCATCTAAACTAAGTCTTCATATGTCAATCACATTGCATTGATTCACATCCATAAACAAACAGTACCAAATGTAATGTGCTCTCTGCAAGATACCCTAGTACGCAAAGGGGCTGGTTTATTCTATAACCGTTTAATTTTCTGTATTGTGTTCAGGTATAGCCTCAGTCAGAATACATTACAGAACTTCCATTTTGAAAAGGTAAAAATATGGGTTAGCTAAAAAAAAAACAGTAACTGAAGACTATTAAACACTGAAGTCTAGCACGCAAGTCACAATGCATTCACTCATTTTCATTTCCTCACTACACAATGCATACACAACTCCATAAGGAATGCATATGCTTTTACTTTAACTGGAAATAGCTTTCTAGAGTAGATTTGCATACCAATGCCCATTGTCAAGGTTCCTTCCCCACTCTGAACTCTAGGGTACAGATGTGGGGACCTGCATGAAAAACCCCCTAAGCTTATTTTTACCAGCTTAAGTTAAAACTTCCCCAAGGTACAAACTATTTTACCTTTTGCCCTGGGACTTTATTGCTGCCACCACCAAGTGTCTAACAAAAATAACAGGGAAAGAGCCCACTTGGAAATGTCTTTCCCCCCAAAATCCCCCCAAGCCCTACACCCCCTTTCCTGGGGAAGGCTTGATAAAAATCCTCACCAATTTGCAAAGGTGAACACAGACCCAAACCCTTGGATCTTAAGAACAATGAAAAAGCAATCAGGTTCTTAAAAGAAGAATTTTAATTGAAGAAAAAGTAAAAAAATCACCTCTGTAAAATCAGGATGGTAAATACCTTACAGGGTAATTAGATTCAAAACAGAGAATCCCTTTATGCAAAACCTTAAGTTACAAAAAGACACAAAAACAGGAATATACATTCCATTCAGCACAACTTATTTTATCAGCTGTTTAAACAAAACAGAATCAAACGCATATCTAGCTAGATTACTTACTAAGTTCTAAGACTCCATTCCTTTTCTGTTCCCGGCAAAAGCATCACACAGATCGAGAGAACCTTTGCTTTTCCCACCTCCAGCTTTGAAAAGTATCTTGTCTCCTCATTGGTCATTTTGGTCAGGTGCCAGCAAGTTTATCTTAGCTTCTTAACCCCTTACAGGTGAAAGGGTTTTTCTTCTGGCCAGGAGGGATTTTAAAGGTGTTTACCCTTCCCTTTATATTTATGACACGCCCCCCAAATCACAGATAGGGTGAAACGCTGGCTGTGATTTCTTCCTGGAGCTCTAGGAGAAAACAGAGTAAATGCACCTCTTAATATACTACCAAGTATATAAAGACTAACAATATTTTCCACATCTCAAGGACGATTTTAACCAGTTGATTCTGGGAAACTTTCACGGGAGAGTGCATCAGCCACTTTGTTAGAAGCTCCCGAGATGTGTTGGATGTCGAAATCAAAATCTTGGAGAGCTAAACTCCACCGAAAAAGTTTTTTGTTATTTCCCGTGGCGGTATGAAGCCACTGTAGCGCAGCATGGTCAGTTTGCAGGTGGAAACGCCGTCCCCAAACATATGGGCGTAGCTTTTCCAGAGCATAGACAATGGCGTAACATTCTTTTTCAGTGACTGACCAGTTGCTTTCTCTCTCAGACAGCTTCTTGCTGAGAAACACTACAGGATGGAATTCTTGATCAGGTCCTTCCTGTATTAAAACTGCTCCCACATCACGCTCGGACGCATCTGTGGTTACTAGGAACGGTTTGTCAAAGTCTGGGGCCCTTAGCACAGGGTCAGACATGAGTGTCGCTTTCAGCTGGTTAAAGGCCTTCTGACACTCTTCAGTCCACTGAACGGCATTTGGCTGTTTCTTTTTGGTTAGGTCTGTCAGTGGGGCAGCGATTTGGCTGTATTGTGGTACAAATCACCTGTAATAACCGGCCAAGCCTAAGGAGGATTGGACCTGTTTCTTTGACTTTGGGACATGCCACTTTTGGATAGCATCCACTTTGGCCTGTAAGGGGTTGATAGTTCCTTGACCCACCTGGTGTCCAAGGTAAGTCACTCTGTTTAGGCCTATTTGACACTTCTTAGCCTTAACAGTTAGTCCTGCTTCCCTTATGCGCTCGAAGACTTTTTGTAGATGTTCCAGGTGTTCTGCCCAAGAATCCGAAAATATGGCCACGTCGTCAAGGTAGGCAACTGCATATTCTCCAAATCCTGCTCGGAGACCATCTACAAGGCTTTGGAAGGTGGCGGGTTCATTCCGCAGCCCGAAAGGGAGTACATTAAATTCATACAGCCCGACATGTGTGGTGAAGGCTGACCTTTCCTTGGGGATTAATCTAGCGGTACCTGCCAGTAACCCTTGGTTAAGTCCACGGTAGAGATGAACTGGGCCCGTCCCAGTTTCTCTAATAGTTCATCTGTGCGTGGCATTAGATAGTTGTCTGGGTGAGTTACAGCATTTAGCTTACGGTAGTCCACGCAAAAACGTATCTCCCCATCTGGTTTGGGAACTAGAACCACTGGAGATGCCCATGCACTGCCAGAGGGGTGGATTACCCCCATCTGTAGCATATCCTGGATCTCCCGTTCTATAGCAGTTTTAGCTTGAGGAGACACCCGATAAGGTTGGACTTTAATTGGGTGAGCATTACCTGTGTCGATGGAGTGGTATGCCCGTTCAGTCAGTCCTGGGGTGGCTGAGAACGTCGGCGCGTAGCTAATGCACAGCTCCTTGATCTGCTGTTGCTGCATACGCCCAAGGGTCATGGAGAGGTTCACCTCTTCCACGCCACCAGCACGTTTCCCTTTGTAGTAGACACCTTCGGGCCACTCAGCGTCATCTCCTCCCTGGGCTGTAAACTGACAAACCTTTAATTCTCTGGAATAAAAGGGCTTTAGAGAATTAATATGGTACACCTTAGGCTTTTGGTTGGAGGTGGGGAATGCCATGAGATAATTAAC